CAAGCACAAAATGGTTACGAGTTTGTCACATTGACCAACCCTGTATTGAAAGAGTTAACTTAAGGTTATTAGTTTGTTAGTTTAAGGGCACCAGTGATAAGACCAGAACATCCATATTGTATTGATTTCTGTATAAACATGTTTGTAATAAACTGTATATAGAAGGAAGTATATTGATAAATTTATTTTTTCGTCCGATCAGGACTCCCAACGGTTTTCTCGACAGATAGAAAAAGCCATGGCAGATATGAAAGGTCTCATCGATTGTCAGTAGTGAAGTTTTTTTCTAACTAAAGTATGAAATTTGAATATTTTTTTTCTAGATAATGGAGTCTAAGAATCTTGGAATATGACAGTCAAGTATTAAAAAAAATCTGAAAAAAATGGTTATTTTGTTATGAGGAAAACTACATTGTTGTCTTTTTAGGAAATTTTATCAAAGAAAATTTGTTAGAAGGAGCTTCTGAATACTACTCCATTTTTGTGTGTGTCTTGAATTGTATAATATGAGCAGTACTTTGAAAATTTTTGATTGATATTTTGTGTTCATTGTAAAGTTTTAGATTTAAGATAGATTGAATTATATATATTTGACTGTAAAGTGGATTGTGGATATTTTTTGATTTTGCAGTTTACGGCAGTTTAGAATATTTTAAGCCCATCTATTTGATTTGAAGTTTTAAACTTATAGATAGATTTTTTTTTTACAAACTTTTAAAAAACTTAACATTTTCTTTACATTTTTTTGAATACATCGTGAAATGTGTGATTTAAAATTATAAGTAGTTTTTTTCACAAGGTTTTGAGAAACTTGAAGTTGTGTGACATTCATTTTCCCCCTTTTAAATATGTCATGATGAAATTTAACATTTGACCACAAGTGTACAAAGAAGTGTACTGCTTAGACTGGACCTCATTTGTTCCATAACAAGCACAAGGCTGAGGAAAGTATTGTAGGGTTTGATATAAGGTCCTTCACAAATAACCTAATTGTGAATTTTTTCCACCCTAAAATATTTACTATAGATATTTTAGTCAGGTAAAGAAAATTTACAATTAATTTACTACCTAGTTTAAACAAAGTTTTGCTCATTTGATGCATTACAGGAAATGTTTTAAGATGTTTCTTTGCAGTTTAATGCATCCTGCAAGTGTTGGGTACTGTAGAATGAGGAGGGGGTTAAAATTACTCACTACATATAGTAGACTCGTGTCTGTGTATGAAATTATTATTTCATTTTTGGTAACTAACTACCTAGAAGAGCAAAAAAATAGAATATTTTTTATTTGTTTTTAGAATGAATATTTTTTTTAAATATGTGTTAAACACAAATCAGTAACAAAGAAAAACTTGTATTTATTTTTATGTGGTTAGGATTTAAAGATGGACAGCTAGAAATTTGTTAAACTGTTCATATAATTATACCTCACTGTTTAGTTGATCGTAAATCTTTAATTAAAGCTTTTACATTAATTTGTTTTAGTTAAAAGAAAACTTTGCTTTAAAGTATTACAAATATATTTCTTGTGATACTGAAAAATAATTTAATAAAGAAGTATTCATACAGCCGTGGGTTTTCTCAACCCCAATGACTTGCTTTTGAATGATTTCTACTTCTTATGTCATTTTGGTATACCTTAATGTCAGTTGTGTTCTTTTCAGTATGCAGAATATGACCCCTCTTATGTTTATAAGAAAGGTAAAAAAAAATAAGTTTCTGTATTTGTGTATCTACATTATTTTGAAATATTGTTAGACCAACTTTTTTTAGTTTTACTTTTGAAAACACTGTTTGTCTGAAAAGATGAATTTATACAGTAAAAGGAGACGTGTGGTAAACAATTACAAGATTGAACTTCATAACCAAAGCATATATTTTTTATTTCTCACCTTTCCTTGTTATTGATAGTTGAGATTTCAGTCCACTGAGGTTTCCGTGGGCTCTTGAACTCCTGAAAAATATCTTAATTTCATTTTCAGTAAAAAAATCCCAATCTTCAAGCTTAATTTAAAAAAAAAAGGTTATCTATTGGTATTGGGTTTGTTCCTATTTTGTATCGGCCATTGTGAATCTCGTGCCTTATGAGACAGCAGGCATATCTCATAAACAATAATTCAAGTTTAGGCACTAAGAGTACTGGAAATTTGAGTAGAGATCATGGAAATAGTGGCTTTTTTTCGTGAAATCTAAACAATCTTAGATAAAGTTAAATGTTTCTTTTATGGTGTAAACTAGTAAAATAGTTTTCTTGTTAAAAAATATGCTTTGTTTATTGGCTGTATTAAACTGGAACATAAGAGTTCATTGTTTGTTAATTCAGGTTTTAAATGCCAGTAAGTAACTCACTACCTTATAAGCTTAGTTAAGTCGACTCTTAGGGAAAGGCAAACTTCAGCACTTTTGAGAAGTTTTGTATTCTTACATTCGTGTTGTATTTAAAATGTGTAGGATCACGCTAAGAATAAAAACTACGAAGTATTAGAAGTTACCGACATTATGATGTCTTAGAAAGCATAGCTTACAATATTTTTTGCTAGATTAACCGTGTTAGAACAAACTGTGTTGAGTGAAAAATGAGTATTTGATAAAACAGGTGGCATCAGTTCTTATGTTGTACCTAATATGAATTCTGTAACAGATTTCTATAAACCTATTGCTTCATAGAATATTATTTTTGTAAAGTTACCACGAGGTTGACAAAGGTTTTCATACCGTTTTCCTTATGTTTCTTGATGGGTATTTTTGTAACAACACTTCGAATATGTAGGATCATCAAAGGGAGGATTGTTATATGTTGGTTTGTTGTTTGACATTAGAGATGTTTAGGACTGGTTTAAATTTGGTTGAAAGGATTCTGTTTTTATTGAGAATTTGAAGATCCAGTGGTTGTGATTTACTATTAAACACATAAACTGTTAGTAGCTTTAAATTTTACATATTTGAATTATAATTATCTTATATAATACCACTGATTTTCAGAATTGTGACAATGAATTTCTTGAAATACTGGAAGTTACTGTATAAATTGAATCGAGGATGTCATATTTCTGTACTGTTTAAAATTGTCTAATGTTGTGTTATTGAACCCAGTTAATTTTTTATGACACCAATAACAGTAATATGTCTTCAGTAATACTTGAAACTATGTATACGTTTTTCTAAAATTTTTTTTTACTCGGAATACAGTGTGATTTTACCTTGTTCTAGTATTAGACTTGAGTCTTGGTTGCAGAGAAAGGTGATACTCTTGTCCCAAATGTGCTGTGGAATTTCTCAAGCTTCCAGTCAGACAAGTGACCATAAAAGCTAGATATTAAATGATTCCACATTTGAACTTTTTATGTTTAAACAGGTATTTTGGAGTTCTTTGTATTAAACATTAATTTAAAATGAGCACTGTATAACTCTTAAGAACAAGGTGACTCTATCTGTTGAGGACCCCTCCAGTGGCTGAGTGGTAAGACTGAAGGCTTTTAATGCTAAAAATTGGGTTTCTATACTCGTGGTGGGCACAGCATAGGTAGCCCATTGTGCAGCTTTATGCTTAACAACAAATAAACAAGTGTCTGTTGAGGTATAAAAGTTATTTACTATTTTAAAATACTTTTGTTAATTAATTTTTTTGGGGGGAGGCTTTTAACATACCAGACTTCACTTAGACACTTGTAAAAGACTATTGGACTGCTTAACTATATCTGAAATATCAATTTTTAAGACAAGTGTATGATTAAATAAAAAGGAATTTCTTATTTGTGTTGAATACTTACTTAACAATGCAAGTACTACCATGATTAATTGTTGGTACTCAACATTCACATGGTAGTACCTGCATTGTTAAGTTGTTACTCAACATTCACAATCATGGTAGTACCTGCATTGTTAAGTTGTTACTCAACATTCACAATCATGGTAGTACCTGCATTGTTAAGTTGTTACTCAACATTCACAATCATGGTAGTACCTGCATTGTTAAGTTGTTACTCAACATTCACAATTATGGTAGTACCTGCATTGTTAAGTTGGTACTCAACATTCACAATTATGGTAGTACTTGCATTGTTATGTTGGTACTCAACATTCACAATTATGGTAGTACTTGCATTGTTATGGTAGTACTTGCATTGTTAAGTTGGTACTCAACATTCACAATCATGGTAGTACCTGCATTGTTAAGTTGTTACTCAACATTCACAATTATGGTAGTATTTACATTGTTAAGTTGGTACTCAACATTCACAATCATGGTAGTACCTGCATTGTTAAGTTGGTACTCAACATTCACAATTAATCATGGTAGTACCTGCATTGTTAAGTTGGTACTCAACATTCACAATCATGGTAGTACTTGCATTGTTAAGTTGGTACTCAACATTCACAATTATGATTGTGAATGTTGAGTGCCAACTTAACAATGTAAATACTACCATAATTGTGAATGTTGAGTGCCAACTTAACAATGCAAGTACTACTATAATTGTGAATGTTGAGTACCAACTTAACAATGCAAGTACTACCATGATTAATTGTGAATGTTGAGTACCAACTTAACAATGCAAGTACTACCATGATTGTGAATGTTGAGTGCCAACTTAACAATGCAGGTACTACCATGATTGTGAATGCACATCAATGCAATTGTTTCATATCTGTATAAACAAAGAAATATATATATATGTATAGGTATGTTTGTCTGTGTTTATATGTAATATATATGAATAAAGAGACTGTTTAAACTGTATACCGTGTATTGTATTGTTATAATGAAACTGGAGTCATCTAAAGCGATGTTTCTAAATCTTCCATTATAAAGCAAGAATCAAATCCTACTTTTGATTAATGTAGTCTAAACGTTGGTGATGGGTGGGTGGTGTTGACCAGCTGCCTTCCCTCTAGTAGCAGATAATCCTCAAGTAGGTTTGTGCAAAATTCAGCAAAGAAACAAATTGAAATTGAATGTGTTTATATCCGTATTTTCTTTGTTAAAAGGATCAACACTTTTCAGTTGGGCATGGCTTATGTTTACTGTCCTGGATTATGAAACATGGCAAAATTACACAACTTTCATTTGGGATTGAGAGTGTGTGGATTGGGATTGTGACCAATGATTGGAGCAATGCAAAAATAGGAGGTGGGTGGCTTTGACTAACTTCCTTCCACGTGTTTTGTCAGTTCAAAATTATGGATGTTTAGTGCATGTAGCCTTCATAAAACAATGCATAAATATCTTAAGGTATGGTTGTCTTCCATCTATACCTCCTTTAACAGTTTTTAGGAAAGGTTTTCTATATTCATTCAACTGTAAGTGACCTAATCCTTAGTGAAACTGTTACGTGGATAGTTGTATTAAACGTGTCACCTCACCGAAGACACTCTGGTGACACACCAAAGCATTAACATTTACAATTGTTTGGAAGTGTTACCTGAGAATACTAATCAGTCAACAATATATCTGTATTGTTAAAAAAAATTGTATATGCTATTATCAGTCAACAATATCTGTCATGGCATTGTTTTAGAAGAATTTCATGGGGATTTAAAGTATCAGTCAACAGTATCTGTCAGGGCATTATTTTAGAAGAATTGCATGGGGAATTATAAGTTATCAGTCAACAATATTGTTTAGAAGTTACTTGAATGAGGTGCTCTTATCTAGCGACAGTTGCAATATAAGTGAGGCACACCCTGCTGGGAATTAATTAATTATTGGGCCTGGATAATAATAATAACATCCAAAAGATGTCGCTGTCTGCAATCATATATTACCCATTGTAGAAACAAACTATATTAAATACAAAAGTAATAGTATCTTCATTTTACAGCAACAATGAATTAGATCTCAACACTGAAATAAATTTTATAGGTTACTAGTGGGTCTAGGAATATAATGAAGGCAGGGTATTAGCGATGATAAAGCAGGATCTCACTGCAGAGAAAAAAGAATGTCGTCTGTGAAATATGCCTTAAAGACATTTTAAATAAGAGTGTACTTTATTAACCCAGAAAGGCCCAGCATGGTCAGGTGGTTAGGGCACTCGACTCGCAATCTGAGGCGGTCAATCCCACTATTCGTTGGTAAAAGAGTAGCCCAAGAGTTAGCGGTGGGTGGTGATGACTAGCTGCCTTCCCTCTAGTCTCACACTGTTAAATTAGGGACGGCTAGCGCAGATAGCCCTCGTGTAGCTTTGCGCGAAATTCAAAAACAAACAAACAAACAATTAACCCAGAATTTAAAAGATGGGAAGTGGGGTGGTGATTTCGTAAAACGTAACCAACATGGTGATCATTTTACCTGGTGAGAACCACTGCTGGGACTCTCAGCGTTTGAAAAGTCGAGTTAGTATAAGTAGACAAATTTTATTAAGTAGCTGGAACGTTCTAATTTTATTAAAAGTGATTTAATTTTGGTATTTATAGAGCGTAGGTGTTGCAACTTACTCTTATAGAACTGAGACACCGTAAAGAGAAGGCAGCTGGAGAGCAGTATTCACCGTCAACTATTGGGTAGTCTAACCACTACAGTTATAGGTTAATGTAAAACGTGTATCTTGTTTATTTGTTTGCTTATACAATACACAGCTTTAAAACAACATTTTTGTCCGAACCGAGATAAATCAAAAAGTTTAAATAAGACTAGAGGCGTCGCTAGGCGCTGGCTCGCGAGGCCCGTGCCTCGAATTCCCAGTCGGTGTCTTTGACAAATTAGGATAGAAAACGATGATCGATATTATAATCCGGAACGCCGAAAATTCCCGAATCTTTTTTAAGCCACCTAGCGACGTGTCTGCATGTAAAAATCTTTTTAAATCACCTAGCAACGTGTCTGCATGTAAAAAAACATGAGTATCTTCAAGTTATTCGTTATTTCTGTCCCTTGGTGGGACAGCGGTACGTTTATTAACTTATAACGCTAAAATCCGGGGTTCGATTCCTTGCGGTGGGTACAGCAAATAGTTCAACGTGGTCTTGTTTTAAAATAAACAGACAAACAGTCCTCATTTATTTGGTGGCTATTTTACCTGCGATACTTCTCTCCCGGACTACCTAAGGGTTTATTGTTCGCAACCCGTTTCTACAAAAAGTGCCCCGTACTTTGGGGCCGTGGCATAAAAGTTGGGGTCAAATTGATCAGACAGGAGTAGCCCAAGAGTTGGCGGTGGGTGCTGCTTTCCTTCTGTAGTATCAGTTCAAAATTTGGATTGGCTATACGCAGTTAGCACTCGAATAGCTTTGCGCGAAATTCCAGAAAAACCAAAACTACTTAGAAAGGCATAACTGCATTTCAGCTTCAACATTGATAAGAAATTTATATTTTAATATAATATTTGAAGGTATAAATAATAGGACCCTCGTCTCGTTGCTGCCAGTTTTAAAATATTTTTTTTATTTCATGTAATTGTTAACGTTTTATTTTATTTCATTATTTTCGGTACTTACGCGTACCATTAAAAAAATTACAGAAATATGTAGAATTTTTGTTCTATTTCTGTATAAGCTCCAGTTGCTTTCAAGATCGTCGATAGTTTTACGACGATGCTACAAACTGAACTGATTCAACCATCAAAGCTGGGTGCTTAGGCTTAAATTAATGCAAGAATGATCATATACGAGCCATTTCAAATTCTTACGAAATATAAAGCATTAGTTGCCAGTTACGCTACTGGAATATATAGTGGTATGATGTTAAACTGTTGTAGCTGTAAGTAGACTCGCCCATTTGGTGAAAGGCCTAAACTATCCCTGACATGACGTCATTTAAGAAGTTACGAATTTTAGGTATGTAGTTCTAGAATTTATTCTAACGTCACAGTTTTTGTTTTCTTTATCTCTCTATACCAATAATCGCTTTTATTAACGTTGTTGTAACTTTTCTACTGTGCCAATACGGTTTTCTTTCTCTTTTACTGGCTGCGTGACAAACGGAATCTTTCAAATTTTAAGGCTTAAAAAATGTTGCTTTCGAGACGGCAAAATACTCGACGTAACAGATTAACTGGTGTTTCACGTATGATCAAACAGGCTAAGCTCAAAGGAAACAAACAAACAAACGTTTATTAAATCAAAGTCAATTTAATCGTTACATGATTCACAGTAATAAAACGATAAATGAAAATAGTGCTAACTTTAAGATACTTTCCCATTAAAAATCCAACACCAATATTGAATACTACAGACAGCACACAAGAATATCACAGATGGTTCGAACCCAGACAATTTTCCCACGTGAATTTAAAACATTGAACGTTATTTCATACTAAAATTAATAAAAATCAGTAAAACTTGCTAATTTATAAATCATTTTAGTCTGTTAAATACGTTTAACAACGGCTCGAGTATCTACCAAAATGTTAATTGAATATTTGTAACTTAAACAAATGAATATAAATTAAAACTCTCAAGAGATTGCGCAACTAACTCAAATAGCATGAATGGAAAAAAAAGTTAGGAACATTTTACTCGAGCCTCTTGTCATATAATTATTTTTCGTAGCTTTAACTTAGTTATTTTAAAATGGCGATGAAGCTTATAAATATCTCTGAACTTAAAAATATTAAAGTCTGATTATTTACAAAGTATTACTGCATTTAAATCAACATAGGATAGCAATTTGTAAACATATTTCTTTTATTTTCATGAGCAAAGTATTCGTTAATTTTAGTATAACAACAGTGAGAAGATTAATAAAATAATATTTGTTAATAATAATTATTTTCAAGATAAAAATAAAGATAGATAAACAGTTATCGTGATGATGAATAAGAATAACTGAAATTAGAAAAAGAAATATTTGAATATCAACTAAGTAATAATAAAACAAGTTCAGGATCAACATATAAGCAAAAAAAGATTAAGCAAAATTATCTAACATTTTATAACATTACTTATAAAGACAATGTATAAAAAGTGTGTCTACAGTAAACTACACCTACAGAAAAAAACAACAACAAACATCATATCCACTTGAAGGACCTTATCTCTTATATAGATAAAAATCTTTGTTATTTAGTTCATAGAAATTCTGGATATTTAAAATTGTATCAAAAATATAAGAAAAATAGATATCCATAGAATTTTAGCCCATTTGTTTTCTTGATACGATTTTTACATACTCTGATGTGACGTCATATAGCCCTGGTGGTGGGATGTTTAGTTTGCCTTTGTGGTTAAATACTACTATTAAAAACGTTTATTAAACAAATGTTTCCTCTGAATTATTGATTACTTACCCAATCACTGTAATTCTTACATAATTTGTGTCTTCCGATTTTTTTTTATATTTATCATTATCTGGTATGTTTAAGATGATAAATGAATATTATTTATTATTATTATGTAATCTGTTTAAGGTAATAAAATAATAATATATATTATTATCTAGTCTGTTTAAGGTAATAAAATAATAATATTTATTATTATCTAGTCTGTTTAAGGTAATGAAATAATAACATATATTATTATCTAGTCTGTTTAAGGTAATGAAATAATAATATTTATTATTATCTAGTCTGTTTAAGGTAATGAAATAATAATATTTATTATTATCTAGTCTGTTTAAGGTAATGTTTGCCTACCAACGGTTTAGTAGAAGAAGTTTCCATCAATATTTTATGTTAATATTCATCTTACCTCGATTTTAGATATTATAATCAATAGATAACAATGTTAAGACAAAATTCACTAATTCTTTTACGTTTTAAACTGTTTTAATAAATATATGTATACTTATTTGCGCGTATAAACCATGATTTTGTTTTCTAATATTTACTTTTACAGGATAAAAGACACTTGATTATTCATGTAAAGAAACAAAAAAAATTGTTTTTTTGACAACGTTTTGCTTGAAATTGTGGGAAGGTGTTACATTGTGTCATCTTGAATATATTTCAAAATACACGTCGTATGATACAATGCAGATTGCTTTCGTTAAAACCAATATAGATCAATAAATCGATTACTCACATTTCTATAATAAGTAGCTCTTATTATTATCAATCCCAAAGAAAAGGGCACTATTTAAATTCAATTTAAAGCATTTATTAAAAAAATAAAGATTTAGTATTCCTGAAAACACTAAGGTGGAAATATCTGAAGCGACTAGTCGCTTCGTGGAATTAAGATCACAAGCATCTGACTTAGGATGCATAGGGAGAATGACGAATTCCAAAGCTGTAGGCCGGAGTTTGCTGGGAGACAACGCACACCTGAGGGTGAAGGAAAAAGAGGTTTACTTTATGCCAGAATAATCGATAGTCCGGTTTACTTGGTACAAAATGATGTGAAATAAATCACGTAATTTTATTTAAAATTTAGAACATTCGTTTATAGTTTTTTTTAGTCTTTTTGGACTCACTGAGTCCCCAAGCTTGAAAATAAAATAATCATAATTCAGTACATCAAGGAAAATAATCAGACGTATGTTTTACCTAACAAGTTCACCTTGAAAAACCTTGTACGAAACTAAATTTAAAGAGAAACTAATTTTTATAAAAACTATTTCCTAGAGGTTTTGCTTCAGTGTATTTTAACTTTTTTGGAATGCTCTTCTAAAATTCGTTTTAAAAAAAAAGGGTTGAAATTAGCTTTCAAATATTTGTAAACATTAACAACAAATTTTAATCTGGAGCTCTTATGAAAAACAAAATATTATTATTGTTTTTTTTTTATTTGATCAAACCATTTACAAACTTTAAAGCACTTCTGCTTATAATCATTTTCACTGTTGACGAACAAATAAGGATTTGTTTTGGAAATGGTACAACAGATATTAACTTCATGGGTAAAGGCCTAATCCTACCTTCCCTTAGGAAGAACTGGTAAATGTGGCGACATATTGGCTATGTTTGATTCCAAAACTATGACGTGGTGAATTCTGTTTGTTCATCCACACCTACACAAGCGGGAGGTAAAACATGGAAAACCAGGTTGAAAATTTGGTGGGCGAGGTTAATATTTGAACGAGATAATTGTGTTCAGTTATACAGAGCTAAAAAATTAAATCAAACAAAATAATAATTCTTTAACTTAAAGCAATTGCTGGATGTTTACTTTTTTATTCCTTTTTTGTTTTCGTTCTTGTGTAAACGATAAATTTAATGACGTAAATTCTGATAAAAAGGTTAGCACACAAAAGATACAATGAATTTCAAAAAGGACCCAAAACTCGAGCGCTCAGGAGAATAAAGGCTACTGAAGAAGAACAGATAACTATTGGAAAGCGCACGAGTTTTGGGTATTTTTTGAAATATAATGATATATAGAAACGGTGACCCAAAATTTAATATAAGCATTTATTGAGATATTCTAAAGTACCTCAGTATATTTTATGATAAAGAAATGTTAGGACTGAAAAATGGTCACCCACCTTTTCAGGGGAGAAAGCTCCGGGGCCAGGCACCTAAAAAAATAAGTTTCTATATAAATATATGGGATTAAAAAATAAGTTTCTACATAAATATATGGGATTAAAAAATAAGTTTCTACATAAATATATGGGATTAAAAAATAAGTTTCTAGATAAATATATGGGATTAAAAAATAAGTTTCTATATAAATATATGGGATTAAAAAATAAGTTTCTATATAAATATATGGGATTAGTTTTCTTTGAACTATATATATTCTTCTCCAATATAATGAAAGAGAGACTACTGGTATAAATTAAATGATTTTACATTTGGAAATCAGATAATTTTAATTTCGTTCTACTCAGTTAACTTGAAATTTAATAGCTTTAGAAGTTACTTAATTCATTTTTTGTCTATCTCTGTAATTTTGACTAACTTAAACCGTTGCTTCACTATGACTAAGAATGTTTCGAAGCGTGTTGTTTCTGTATACTTTAAACCTGAAGTTAATTTTTTCTTTAACTTGGTAAGGTATTTATTGAAAAAGTTAAAGTTTAAATACTTAAACAGTAAAGCTTGCTTGACGTTCTTGTTATAAAGTTCGCAAGTCCAAGATGCACAGGGGATTTTGACTTCCTTTCTTACCCTCATAGTTTTGTGTTTAAATTGAATTTTTTCGGCTAGAAACATATTTACCATCATAAACTTTAAAGTAAATTTATGTGCCCTCTATCTCTGTTTTACTGAACTTCAAAATTTCTGATAACTTTAATATTAATAGAAAAATTTAATTCACCACAGATTAGTGGCTTTTATTTACAGATACGACTATCTGATAGTATAGACGTAAAATGTTCTTCGAATATTTTCATTTCTTCTTTTCTGATATCGGTGCCTCCTATCAGCGGTTTTCTGATATCGGTGCCTCCTAGCTAAGCTGTTTTCTGATATCGGTGCCTCCTATCAGTGGTTTTCTTACTTATGGATTAAATTGTTGCAGTGTATGTTACCATGAGCCGTTCAATAAATCCTTTAAATATCCAAGATAATACGCCATCCTGTGGTGTTTAACACTTCGTCAAAGTTTTTGCTTTTACGGATTTGTTGTTTTTAAGTACCAGTGAAAAAGTTCGACTGGTTTTGGAATATCGTAGATGATACATTAACCCTTTGATTCACTCAGAAAAGATAAATATATTCTCGGTTTTCTAGAAGTATTTTTTGTATGATTTTCTAAACAGCAGTGTCTGATAACTTGTACTTTGTATAGGTCCAAACCAGTACAATGTTAATGGAAAAGACGTCACTCTTCCTCATTCCCCTTCTTATTCCATGGGAGCGAAATTAAACCACGAGAAAATCAACGATGTAAGTATAACACTGCATCTTACTGGTTGAATGACGACTCAGACGATAGAATTAAGTTGGGGAAAAGGGGGAAGATTCAGCTTAGCTAGGAGGCACTGATATCATAAAAACACTTGGCTAGGAGGCACTGATAAAAAGAAAATCGCTTAGCTAGGAGGTACTGATAAAAAGAAAACCGCTTGGCTAGGAGGCACTGATAAAAAGGAAACCGCTTAGCTAGGAGACACTGATATCAGAAAACCGCTTGGCTAGGAGGCACTGATATCAAAAAACACTTAGCCATGAGGCACTGATAAAAGAAAACCGCTTAGCTAGGAGGCACTGATAAAAAGAAAATCGCTTGGCTAGGAGGCACTGATATCAGAAAACCGCTTGGCTAGGAGGCACTGATAAAAAGAAAACCGCTTAGTTAGGAGGCACTGATATCAGAAAACCGCTTGGCTAGGAGGCACTGATATCAGAAAACCGCTTAGCTAGGAGGCAGAAAGAGAAACTCATGAGTATCTTATATTTTTCTTGCGCCCTCTGTAGGACGGATGGAAAGTAAACAATCATCTTGAGGGATCCTCTACTTCCATTTGTTCCAATCCATCATGGTGTCTTCCTCTTTAACACCGCACGTTTTCTCTAATGGTGTCAAATCATATATTTTGTTGTTGTTCTTTTAGTCGTTTCCCTTCGATCTGACTACGTTACCAGTGTAATTTCAATAAGTTACAAATTTAATTAAAACACCACGTTGGTGTTAATAACATACAAAACCAAAGCAATGGGCTTTTAATTAAACGTTGCCAATATGGAATTAAGCCCCTTGTTAAAGGACGAACATTCAACTTACCAGGAAAATTATCTTTTTTGTGTTCCTTTAATTTCGCTCCGAACGAAAAACTGGGAGAACCATTTAGAACTGTTTTATCGCAATTTTCTGGAGTGTAAGCACCAGGGGCAGGAGTTTTAAATTTTTCGGGCTCCTTCATTCTTCCAGATATTGAAGGTGCGGGCACCGTTTCCTTTCCTTTCTCAGAAATTCCAGAAATTTCGTAAGTTCCTGGACCCGGAGTGTAATCCTTTCTCTTTTCTTCAACCCTACCACAAGAACATAGAGATTTTTAAACATAGGTGGCGCTTTAATATATAGCCATACGAAGTAAAACGAATACCAATTAAAAAGTACCACATTACTAGTACTTTCATATGATCTTAATAAAACAACTTGTCTGATAACGTTAAAAATTAAACGATTTTTTAAATTATTATAATCGCATGAAGAAAAACAACGACCCACGAAAAATGTACTCTGTAAATGTAAAGTACCTTGAAATGGAAACATTGACTGTTTAACAACAATTATAGATTTTGTAGTATAGCTATATATATATATGATAAGACAAACTGATTATTTACAATTGTTTTCGAACATAAGAACTGATGTATGAAACGAAAACAAAACTTATACGTGTGATGAAACCATATTATTTACAATACAGACGCTAATGTAGTAGAAATTGAAGCCAAGAGTAATGACATTTTTATATCAGAGTTATATATTGCACCCAAGTGTTTCCACTAGTTAATCTTCAGTTTGTTATTATTATTTAAAAGTTTATGGATTAAAAAAAAGAAAGTAAAACAAAACTAGTGCCATCTAGTTTTGAAATAAGTAAGTTTATTGTGACTCTCGCTATTAATTACTTAGTTATTTTCTCTCAAACTGTTCAAAACGATAAAACTCCGTGTATAATAGTCTAATATTTATGAGCCAACGTTTATAGTAAATGATGAAAATATTATTTTTAAAGTGTGTGGAAAC